TTTTGTCACTAAATTATATTTCTATTAAGTGTTTGTATATTTTGAACATGTCTGGTTGTTTGTATCTTTTTCAACGGCTTTTGATGCTTCCATTTTTCTCAGCTACTCAGAGGAATTAGATGCTGTAATGCCTTCAAATAAAGAAATATTGTTGTAAAAGACTAATATTATCACTATTATCAATGTCCATATTTCTTGCATAATTCATGGTTCAGTTATGTTGATTTAATCACTTACTCTTTAGTGAAACCTCAAACACAACATAATAAAACAGGATTAGGTGTGTTCAGGAACCTCAGTGTAAGGTGATGTTCTCTGATTGAGGGAAGTGATTTGCATTTAAATCAGTGTGTTGCAGCATCTCTGCACTTCAGCCTGGCACTTAATCTGGACAAACCTCACTGTGTCCATTGTTGCATTTAAGGGGTAAATGCCTGAAACCAATTAAAAACAAACAGCAACCACAAGTTAAAATGACTGATAAGATGTTTAAAAAGTTCAGATCTCAACCCATCAATCCAACAGTTGTTTGATCTTTGCTTTCCAGCCAGTCAAGTCCACTCGAATGAGCCGTGTCGCTGGTGATGTGTTGAAACAGTGGATCATTCACCAACTCCTCTGGAGCAGCGTTTTGATATTGCCCTTGCTGCTGGTTGGGGTCAAATAGGAGGTTTGGATCCAATGCATTGAGGTCGTTGATGCTACTGGAGAACTCTGACGTCATTCTGATTTCACATGGGAAGTCTGCTCCCCCTGTAGTCAGCTCTGACACCTGTTCGACGAGCTGACTGCCGGCAGCCAGGCTATGGTCTGTCAGGAGGTCTTTGACAGTGCTGCTGAAATCTAGCTGCTGATGCTGCTGCAGTTCTTCTCGCTGCTGCTGTTGGTTCAGAGTTAACATAATCTGGGCCTGCTGATGCTCTCCAGAGGCTGATTGTACTCGGCTCTTATTTGTAGAGAAATGCATTGGTTCATTAATGGTGTTTTCAATGAGGTAATCGGGCCTCTGTAGCTTGCAGGTAGCGTCAGAGGTCATCATGCTGAGCTGGTTTTCAGCACAGGAGAGGCTGGGGTCAGACTCCAGGATCTGAGTGAGGTTCATGCGCGCAGTGTAGCTGGAGGATAAATGGCTGATGCCCAGACCCCGCAGAGCATCGTCGTGGTCACTGTCCAGCTTGCTCAGAAGGACATTGCCGATGTTTTTGTTGTTGCATTGTTGGCCTGCTGTGGGACGGACCTCAGTTTGCATCATGATGTTGAGCGGCACAGAACGGCTCCGCTGGGCCATGCTGCTCACCCCAAGATTAGTCTGGCTGTTTGCGAAGATGTTCAACATCTCGGGCGCAACAGGAGAGTTAAAGGGAGACGCCACTGAACGAAGGACATTGGGATGGGTGCTGTTTCCTGTGTTTCCACAGAAGTTCCTCTGATGCACCGCAGGGCTCACGCTGCGACACCGAAAATTTGTAGCGGTTACGTTGCTGGTTTTATTATCCAGTGGGGCAGGTACAGCAAAACCCTCCTGCTTGGTCATGTTGGCCATGTTAGTTACCTGCTGCTGCACAGGTGAGATGGGAGTCAAGCGGCCGAAGCTGCTGTCGTGGTACCGTGCATGAGGGACGGCGAAGGCGTGAGGTTTTTGAAAATGGTCATCTATCAGGCCTTGATAACCAGGGAGGATTCTCATTCCACTGTTTGACTTGTTTAAACTCTCACTGCTGCTGTTGTAACTGTTATTCATCCACTCCAGCCTGGTCTTGTCCGGGTGAGTGGCCATCGGCCTCTGCATGGGCTTGACAGGGCTGCTGGAGATAGTGCTGCAGTCATGGAAACCAGTAATGCTGGAGTTGATGGGTGTAAATGCAAACGGGTTCCTGCACTCCACTGGACTGGGCGGCACAGTGCTGCTGCAGCTGGAGTGTGGCGTACCGAGTGGGGTGTGACGACTGCTTCCCAGCGCACTGTCCACCGGGGTTGTGGAGGCCATGCGGGAGCAGGGACTCTCACCACTGAAGCCTTGAGCTGTTCCCATCATCTCTGACGTCGGTGTGGGAGTGGGTGTCGGGGTTGGAGTATGGATTAGGTTGCCACTGTTGTTGGCACCGTGATAGAAAGCAGTCATCGTCTGATTAGCTGACATAACGTTGTCCGGCATCACCGACTGCTTGCCTTGCATTGTGACCCCAAACCCACGCAGGCTGTTGAGTTTCATCTGCTCCTCCATCTGCACCAGCTCCTCCACGATGCTGTCCTGAGTCACATCATCATCGAAGTTAAAGTAGTCCATATCTGTCTGCATGGGGAGATGATTGGATGATGTTTGACTCAAAAACTCTAAGGTTTCGGTAGTAGGGTTGGACTGAGTGTAGCTCTGCTGTTGAGCTCCTTCCAGGATTCCTGTGGTGGGGTTTGAGATCCTCCCATCACCTGAGTGCTGCTGGAGGCTTTGGTTATTAGGTATGACGTGCATATTAGCCACTGTGTGCCCCTGCTGTTGCTGTGTTAATGCGTGACTGACTGAGCTGCTATTTTCCAAAACAGTGGAGGTGTTTTTCCTCTGAATTGTGCTCTGTGTTTTGGCAACAGAGTAAAAGCCACTTGGTCTGAAAGAGGAAGTGCAGAGTGAATGGACTTGAGTGGCCGAGACAGAGTTCATTTTCACTTCCACCTCCCTGGTGGCTGGTGCACTTTCGGGTCGAGTCGGAGCTCCCAGCCTGGAGACATAACTGACCGGCTTTCTGATGCCATATCCAAGAGCAGCAACGCCCCCTACAGGCTGTTGGGGCATAAAAATCCTTTTGACTGGGGAAAGTTCTGGGCTGAGGCTTGAGCGTTTCCTGAGGCTTTTAGTGGACAGGAAACTTTCTTTTGTTGGTGTCACCCCACAGCTCCCCCCACATGAAGGTGCTCTGCTGGTGTTCAGTATCGAAACAGTGCTGGTATTCTGAGGGGAGGGAGTTGAGCGCAAAATGCTTGTATTGTTGGCGCTACTATTGCTGCTTTCGACTTCTGCTGTAGCGTAAGTGCACGAGGAGGAATTTCCATTGCATTTATTAATAGATGTTTCATCCAGAACCAGGAAGCCTTTCGTCTGAGGAATGGGCACACTGGCGGCCCTCTGTACAGCCCCTCCACTTCTATTTGCCATTGCCCCTTGAGTTAAAATGAGACTGCTAGGATTTTGCATTTGGCTGTTTTGATGTATCGCTTCCACTTCCATTTCAACATCGATGCAGTGAGCGGCAGCTGTCTGCCCTGGCCAGGCCACCGGGGCCAGAAGTGGGACAGCAGAAGCACTCCTCGTGGTTTCATTAGAGCTGATGTCTTCTGCAACTGCAAAAGTGCTGATTCCTGCAGATGCTGATCGCAGAGTTGCGTTTGTGAGGGTCGTGGTGGTGTTGCCGCTGTTGGGTGCCAATGATATGGTCGTCATCTTGACCAAACTGACGGGGCTGACATGACACGTGGTCATCACAGTTTTAATTGGGCTGTTGGCAATGATCATGGCGGAGGGCGAGTGCAAAGTGATAGGGGTCGTGGCCAAAGGTTTTGGCAGGATTTGAGCGTAGCGCTGCCGAGCCGTGCGTTCTCCAGCTGGATTGGGCAGAATATTTTGCAGGGTCTTTGGGCTCTGTTTCATCGGCTGCGTCACCATTTGGAAGTTAAACGGCAGCACTTTGCTCTCCACTGTTCCCACCGGACTAGGCGACATCAGCTGCCTGCTTCTCTGCACCTGAAGAGAAAGAAGCTCCATCAGAAAGTGGTAGAACAGAATTATCTTAGTTTATTTATTTATCTCTTATTACCTACAAGTGAAGGTAATGAATGTGTAACAGTTAACAGTAATCTTTTTGTTTTGCACCAGTCAGACTGTACTCATATTTACAAATTCATCATTCAAGCCTCCTGTTTTCTCACCGTGATGGGGCTGGGGACAGCAGCGACCACAATGCCTATGGTTGGCTGAGGTGATGGAGGTGGGGGGCTACCGGAAGGCACACTGTCATCTGCCCTCCTGGTTTGTCCCTCTCCGGGTGAAGGAGAGTGCAGCTTCTGTTCCTGCTGTTTTCTCTGGATCTTCCTCTGGAGCTGTTGCTTCGCATCGACAGAAGGCGACGACAGGTTCGTCCCGTGAGGCTGGAAGGAGTGAGCCTCAGCAGTGGGGATGAAAGCTGACACAGACTGTGGAGTCTTAACCTCTGGAGAAATAAAACAGGAGGACATTGGTACTTTTACTTAGTAAATGATCTGAATAATTCCACCAAAAAGTTGTGTTTCTTGGTTTTTGTTTGACGTCACTAACCTCCCCTCCAGATCTCACTTCCTGCCCTTATGTGTTTCACACTGTCGTGATTGTCTCGTCTGCCATAATATGTAAAACATGTGTCTCATCCTTTAGTGTATTTAGTCACTGTGCTCAGCATGTCGTCTTTGTTTCCTAGGGTCTAGTGTTACAGCCTTTTCCCCCTTTTTTTCTAGGGGATTGTTTATTCTGCTATCAGTCCTCTGCCTGATCCTCTGCTCTGTTTGCCTGTGACCTTTGACCTGTGTCTATGTGTGTAGTGACCAGTTTTGAGTTAAAAGATGTTTGACATTTCATCCTTGTCACAAAGTCGTGCATCTGAGACAACAGTTGTTATA